CCCATTTATGATTTGTATCACTTTAGATATAAATTTTACAAACCGTGATCTAAAATATTCATCTATTAACAAACAAACTCTAGACATAGATTTATGAGTTGATATTTGCTTTGTGTTATTCTTAGCGATTATTGTATCGGTTGCTAGCATGAGACATTATCTAAGGGAGGATACAATAATATTCATGACACCGCTCTAGACATAGACGGTATTAAGAGGGTACATGATTGTATTAATCGTAAACGAGTTCACATGCTTGATTAATCGAATATATACAAGTTAGGTTGACGAAATATATCTTTGATATATCTTTTAAACAAACACCTTTTAGAATTTAAATCTTTGCTACAAAAACTGTGACAAACTTATGATCCAAAACAAACAAACTTTGAAAACCCTTCTTAAAACAATTTAAATTGCATAACGATTAGTGATATCACGACAATCCCTGTGGATACGATATACAAAACTTCTTATCACTCACAGATCAAACAACAACATAATCTCATAATCTTTGAGTTTGCACCTATTCAGAAAATCAATGAACTCTTCCACAACCTTGGGAAAAACCACCTTCACTTGCTCTTCGTAATTGGGTTGAACCTCTTTTATGCCCTCGGTGATATCAACCATGAACACATCCATAAGCTTGACAGAAAGAGCCTCCTCAGCCTTGGAATTAACTTCTTTCTTTGGTCGAGGTTTTTGCTTATCAGCAAATTTGAGCCTCACATCCTTCAATGTGTTTTAAACAAGGTCCCTAAAAGGCACACATTGAGAAGTTTTATGGTCTAGGAAGTTATGAATTTTACAAAACTCGTTTTTCTTTCTTTGTTCTAATGGTGGTGTCTTAAGCCCTTTAGGGATTACAATTTGGCCATCAGAGATTAAGAGGTCGAAAATCTCGTCATATTTAGTTACACCAAATGTATAAGTTTTTGTGACAAATTTCTCATTTTTTGCTCCAATAGAATTTTTCCCATTTGAAGGTTTTAGTAATTTACATACATGAGGAGGTTCTAGCTTAAGTTCTACCATATTGACCTCGTTTTCCTCAACAAAGTCGTTGTCTGTGTCAGATAAGATTTCTATTTCGTCTATCTCGACATAGGCTACTTTTTCCTTTTTATGATACTTACTTGACCTGGCCTTTTCAGCTTTCAAATGTTTGACTTGTCGAACCCGATATGCTAATTGGTCCATATCTCTTAAATACAGGGTGTCTAACTTTTTCCTGATGGAATAATCTAAGCCCCCTACATCCAACTCAATTAATTAATGTTCAGGCACCTGAGTGAATCACCTTGATTTCATAATCTGAAACCTATTTAGGTAATCATCTATTGTTTCAACCACCTTTCGCCTCACACTAGATAATTACTTGAGGCTAATCTTAGATTGACCCATATAAAACTGTTCATAAAATGCCTTTTCCAATTGATTCCAATTAAATATGGAATGTGGGGACAATATGGTGAACCATGTAAAAGAGTTCTTTGTCAAAGAATTGAGAAAACACTTCATTTTCAAATTCTCATTATTGGCTATATAGTCGACCTTAGTCTGATACCTAACAACATGCTCGGTCGTAGACTCATTAGTGTCACCAACAAACTTGGTGAATTTGGGGTATATTTTGATAGATGAGACACATCATTAGGCCTATGAAGACCAATGTTAAGGCCATTTTGGGACAAGATTTGCTTACCACGTTAGTACTTGGTCGGCGTCCTGGTCACTTGGCACCACAACTATTTCAGGGCCATTTTGGGCTTGGTTTCCTTCGACTACCCTCGGTGGAGGTTATTCGACAGTAATTTTATTATTAGGTGCCAACATAATTGACACCAGAGGGGCCCAAAAAACTAACAGTTCTACCCATCTGATGGGCCAATTGCTGGTAACTATGGGTTGTGTTAGTATTAGAGGATGAAACATAATACATATTTGTTGTGTTAACATGTCCATCATCTCGTGGTTACTTTCATACATCTGTTTCCTCATGGACGCTAGGGAATCTGTAGTTAAGGCTGGCATTCCTGGAGGAACATATCAAACTCCTCATTATGGTTGTGTTATTCAATTAGGGTTTCTTATAGGAGATCTTAACGCCAAATTTAGATTGAAGGGTGACACTATCATTGCAACATTATTTGCAAATGTCAAACTGTGACTTTGTAACGCTACCATCATGGTACTTGGAATGCCATATGGATAATCTCTGGTAACTAAGGGTAGGGTAAAAGTTGGGACATAAGGGGAATTAGGGTCCCTTACGACTACCGAAGTAGGCCTAGGTGTAGTTGGAATTTTTGTTATTGGCGGTAAAGAAACTATTACTCCTGGATTTACGCTGAAGTCGTTATTGGAGTTAAGATTGAGCCTTTGACCCTGACAGGGTTTAATATCCCTGTTGTACCAACCGTGGAAGTGATTATTTGTTCAGGGTCTGAAGCATCATTTTGAGCACAAGAAGTATTTTTTGGGTTAACCATTTCTATTAAAATCCTACCACTTTTCAGACGCATATGACTCTGGACATTGAAAACATTTCATGTGGAATAAAGATGTCTAAATAATACAATAATTCCTCGTAAAAGAAAAGAAATTTTCACACAAAAGGGCTCACTGGGTGTGCCAACTTGTTCGCATATGTTTTTAGCAAACAATCATGAGTTTAAAAGTTTGTGATTTTAACTCGAAAAATATGGGGAGCAGTTTTGTGCAAACACATTTACAAGAAAATGTGTATGTGAAGCGATTGTGAATGTATGTGTGCAAACAAGATATAGACAAACTTCAATGACGAAAAAGCTTGAACTAAAGTAAAAGAATATTACAATAAACAACACCAAATAAATGCGGTAAATGACACAAAGTATTGATGTTTCAATTAAGGAAACATAGACAATAAAATAAAAGGGATGCAGACTAACATGTTACTCACAAACTATTTTGCACTTTGACTTGGATATTCCAATTCTATATAGAAAGTATATGAAATTTGTGATCTCGATTACAACATATGAAACTGCTATATACGTTAAACTAAAAATAATCGTCTTCGACAACTTATTCCTAGAGAACTGACACGTCTTCGAGAACATGCAACATGATCTTTTGATGCACTATCATGTCGTTAATACTTGAAAACTGTTAAAAATCATTATCCCACATTCGTAACTATTCTTAGTAACTAGTAATTACATGCCCGTCGAAGTTGATTGCTGACAGCGTTAAGTCCCCTTTTCAGTATTTGGTTTCCAAAATTTTCTAAGTCTTTGAAGTCGGTTGAACACTTCAGCTCTGACACAACGTCGCTATCAATCAGATATGTTTCTGAGACTCCTCTAAACCATGTCTCATGGTATGCTCTTGAGATTCTTCTAAATCATGTATCAAGATCTACTCCTAAGGTTCTTCGAAACCATGGTTTAAGATGTCAGTCGAAATGCTCCAGTCGATGTGCCCATTCCTGTCGACTTGTGTCAATTAATACTAACACTTAGCATTTTTCCGATGTAGCATCTAGTTAACTTGTTTCAAAAAATAAAAATTTCAACTAATAGCAATATAGGCGGAAAAGTTAGGGGTTATACGTACACAACAGTTTAGGTTTTGTTGTATTTTTATTTTATTTTCTGAATGTTATGTATGATTAATACATTTTTAATTTAATTTAATAAATGTATAACTTTTTTATATATATTTGTAGTAGGTTTGAATTAATTAAGGTATTTGTTTTTTAATTTGTGACCTAAAATATAATTTGCCTTCAAAATATGTCAAAATGTTGCTCCTTAAAAAACATTCAGATGAATTTCCAAACATGCATCTTAATATCTTCTATTATGAACAATAAACACGCACCCAATACATATATAAAGACAATTGATAGTTTTCCAGTTGCATTATGTCAACTTATTTAATAATTGAGCAATATTAAACCAAAAATATTCACTCTCCACATTTCTCATAAATTTTTTATAAAAAAAAAAACAACCAAACATCTTAGTGAAATCCACAATAATTTCATCCAAAAGCGATGTATTGAAAAGAAGAGTGTTTAAAAAAGTGTATTGATTAGGGTATTTCTTAAACAGTAAGGTATGTGTTTTTTAATTCGTGACCTAAAATATAATTTGCCTTCAAAATATGTCAAAATTGGGATAATGTTGCTCCTTAAAAAAATCCATGTGAATTTTTAAACATACATCTTAATATCCTCTATTATGTACAATAAACAGGCACCCAATACATTTATAAAGACAATTTATAATTTTTCGATTGCATTATGTCAACTCATTTAATAACCAAGTAATATTAAACTAAAATATTCAATCTCCATTTTTCTCATAAAAAAAATTAAAAGAAAAAAGAAAATCAACCAAACATTTTAGTGAAATCCACAATAATTTTATCCAAAAGTGGTGTCCTGAAAAGAAGAAAGAGTGTTTAAAATAAGTGTATTGATTAGTGTACTTAATCAATAAGGTGTGTGTTTTTTAATTTGTAATCTAAAATATAATTTGCCTTGAAAATATGTCAAAATTGGGATAAGGTTGCTCCTTAAAAAACATTCAGGTGAATTTTCAAACATGCATCTTAATATCCTCTATTATGTACAATAAACAGGCACCCGATACATATATAACAAAAATTGATAAACTAAACTAATATTCAACATTATATTCAACATCTAAGTGAAATCCACAATAATTACACCCAAATAAACTAAACTAATATTCAACATTATATTCAACATACACTCAAAAGAAAACTCAGATTTTTAACATATTACATATTTACTTGATAACCTTGAAACTATAGTCAAATACAGCAACAACAACATTTTCTCTTTCATTTCCCTACTCAAAACATCAGCATCTTTCTCGAGAGTTGTCAAATTCTACTGTCTGGCATTGAGAGAAGGGTTCACTGATAAAATCCTAAAGTAAAATACATATAGCAATCAACAAAGTTGTAGCCCCTTTCGTTCTTCAGCTGTGGTTTAGTTGAGACTTTATACGAATATCCAATTTGAGTTGTCCACAACCAAAATGATCTGAAGGAATCAAAAGAAAGTTAGTTGTAGGAGCACAGCCATTTTTGTCTTGAATAGTCTTCATAGAAGATTGCAATATTAATGTGCTCCCCAGAGACCTAGCCAATACATCATAATGAATTTCTTTTAGCGATTTCGGGCCAAGGCAACTAACATGGACCATATTTCCCAGATCAACAAGGTTATTGTGAACGATAAATAGTCTTGCATCATTTTGATCTAGAAGAACAATTTCTTTCTGGCGAGTATTTAACGAGACAGATATAAATTTGTCATATGTAAACTGTATTCCAAAGCCTACATGTCTATGGCTGAAGTGGAGAGCTAACTCTTTGGATGATGCAAGAAAGTCGCAACCTATATGTGGACACTTACATGGTATGTATACACATTCCTTCTCGTGGCTAGTTTTCAAGTTGCAACTAAACATATCTTTGCAGCCATATTTTGCATTCGGGCATGATATTTTAATCGATTCCAACAACTTCTCCACAGCACGGCAACGATTGTACCCAATGGGCATTAAGCACATGGGACATTTGTTCCTAAGTTCCCCACAACATTTAGAGCAAGCAATATGCCCATTCTCACACTGATTGTCATTAAATCGCAAAAAAGTTATCAAATTAGATCTTTCATTACACGGAACAACAAACAAAACAGTTAAAGTGCCTCTTAAAGGAATGCATAAAGCCAGCATAAATGCTAAGTTAAACATTAAATCAAAAACAAACCATGTGATCATCAACTTTGAGCACAAGTAATGCATAAAGTACATATTTGAGCAAGTTTTGAAGACAAAAGTCGTCTTCACAACAAATTCGTCTAAAAATACACATCAGTAAAAACAGCTTATTTATAAGAAAACATCCAACAATTAAAAGTTTGAGACGATGTGTCCTCATTCTTCAAATCTTTAAGAGTTTATTGCAGAATATCATCTATATGGTTAGGAGACCCTTAATTATTTACCTATCCCTCCATGACAAAGTTAATTTTGTTTTTTTGGTTAATAATTAAGGGTCTCCTAACCATATAGATGATATTCTGCAATAAACTCTTAAAGATTTGAAGAATGAGGACACATAGTCTCAAACTTCAAAAGGGCAAACAAAGCATTGAAAAGTTCAACAAGCATGGCCTTTAACAAGGGACTCCAAAACACCAAAAGGACCCAAATCCAATTAACTTTTTACTGTAAAATCACACCAGTGAACCTGCCATGTTTGGGTCCATGGATCAATCGGGTAGAGCTGCTTACAAATGACTTACAATGGATGTGCAATTTCTCCTTTCTTTTTCAAAAGGAAACTTCTTCACCTACATCTTAACTCACAATAGAATTACTAACCTAAATCACTACAGCTAAAAAAACACCTTTTATGGTTCCAAAATTCAAAAAAACAGAAACCCAACTGAATTTTCAAACTGTTAAATTTAAATCTAACATCAATTATCAGTTCACAAAATTCATAGACAAACAACAATCATAAGAAGAAAAAAAATGCAAAATTCATAGCCCAGAGAAAAAGGGGCTAAAATTGGAAACTGACCTGGAATATAGGAATTGTCAATGGTTCAGAGCAAATGAAGCAATCGAGAACATCAGGGTCGGAAATGATGGCAGATACGTTCTTACCCAATTCCTTAGTTTGATCTACGTTGGATCCAGATGTTCTTTCGCTTGTGTCGTTTTCTAGGGTTCCAATTGGGGCATTTTCCATTTCAAACCCTTCTCGGGGTTGTTGATTTTCTTCTTCCCTTGTAGAAGCTGTTTCTTCTTCTCCGTCGTCTACCCTTCGGCGCTTCTGGTTCGGGTTACTAGGTCCTTCTCCGTCGTCGCATCCACCGACCGAAAATGTCACCATCACTCTGTTCTTTGTCTCATATATCAAAGATTCATTTATAGGAAAACTGCTCTGTTTTTAACATGAAAAGACGCTTCTGGTTTTTTATGCAGTAAATTTAAGACAATTAGTACTTGTATTAATTGTTTATTTCCATATTATTTATTGTTTTTCTTATTTTGTTTTGTTTTTTAGACAAAATTTGGTGGGAAAATAAATGAGTGTAAGAGCCTAAAGACAAAAGTGCCTTTAATGTTTGTCCAAATGAAGAAAATATAGGGATTTATGATTCGAAGAACATAATGGTTGAGTTTGTTCATTTTGGTTTTAAAAGAATTTTAAAAGTAAAATATCATTGGATATAACTATTAAGTAGATAATAAATAAATAAAATTATGATTTAATATTTTTTTATCATGGATTTAGAGTTCAATTTGATCTTTTAATTTATTTTTTTTTAAATTTGGTTCTTGAATTTACTATTAACTATCATATATGTTATTACCGTCTAATTCCCACAAAGGGAGATTATTATGATTTACGTGACATTTCAGTTGATTGATGTGTCATCACCATCGCATTTTCCTTGGTTTTCTTCGTACATATATGAATATTAAATTGAACTAGGACAAGTACTTTCGTCTAGGTATTATCTATGTATTTGTCATACCTCAAATGCTTGACCACTTATGTGCATCCTATGTATCACCTTTATTCATAATCATAAGTTGTTCGTGGGTGGACATTCTTCACTCTATCTTGTCAATTAAATATACAAATGAGTTATGGGCATTGTTTTTCCTTCACGAAACAGTATGGTAAACATGAAAGCAAGAGTTTTGAGAGTTTTAATTTCAAGGTTTATTCAAGTTCAAAGTTGTGATGGAGACTCATTTGTCGGCATGGGGATATTGTTGTTCTTCAAAGAACAATAACAATTAACAATCATAAAAAGCAATATTGGGGATACCCACACTTTAGGGTAAACATTCTAAAATCCTTCATCATTATGGATATTTCTAAAATAGTGCTTATTTTGAAACATTGACACTGTGATTTCTAAATTCATACAGGGTTCTACTCAAACTGAGTGTGATTTCTTTGATTGATTCTGGGAAGACATGGGAGATGTGAATGATTATTTTATGATGAAACAAAAAAACAGGTTAAAAATTTAACAAAAGCAAATGAAGAGAAATTGCATAGTCTTAAAACACAAAGACCCACAATTGAGGCACAAAAGCAAGTGTAGATATGCATTGTAACAAAACTCATTCCCGTGGGAACTGAAATTCTGGCAAGCAGATCACATATGTCCTAAGAGATACCGAGACATTGATCTTTGCTAAAAACTGAACAAGGACATAACAGAAACATTATGTTCTCTAAAAAACATGAACACTCTGAACCATCAAGATCAAAACAGTGTCATGACAGATGTTTCAACATCTGACAAAATATGTACTTCAGAGTATAGATACAAATTGAATTAACATAACAGAATAAAAGAAATAACACAAGATATGATGACCCAGTTCGGTGCAACTCACCTACATCTGGGGGCTACCGTGCCAGGAATGAATTCACTATCAGTAGTATTAATTTAGAGCTAAACTTCCTCGTTTACAACTCATCACTTAATCTCTATCCAGTACAATTCTATCTAGAAATCACCATCTAGATAAGAGAACCCCGTCTCAATTCCTAAATCACCTCAATGATATCTAACAGTCACAACCTCTAGTGACTGTATCAAACTATTCAATTGAGAGACACCCCCTCTCAATACAATATTCAGTCAAAACTCTTGACTAGCAATAATACTTGAATTTTCTTAAAAGCTTCATCCAAGAACAATATACAATTTATTACCTACAGGTTTTTGAATATGTAAAACTATGTCTACCACAATGTATCAACTAATATAAAGGGTGACTTACAACACAAGAAAGTACACAACTTTTAAAATCCTAAACCCTTATTTTTCTACTTTTACAAAAGTCTTAATAAGAATACCCCTTTCTACCCTAGGTCTTGGACTTCCTTTTATAGCCTTCAGCTGTCCACGGGTTTCGAAGTCTCTGTCTAAACTTTTCTTGATCCACGTTTTGATTGCACCTTAAATCTTGGAACAGATCTGTAACAAATCTGCTGCACCAGATTAGGATGTCGAGTCCACAATGCTAGGACATCTTGAATGACATGTCTTCTTTCAGAAAATTTCTTCTTGTTGGAACATCTTGTGTAACATCATGTTTTACCAAAATTCTAATCAAATCTTTAGAGCCTTCAATCTCCCTCTTTTGACAAATTTTGGCTAAAACACCTTTTACATAATAAACCCAGGATGACACGCAGGGAGATGATAGAAAGTCCTGAAGTCATTTCAGTCAGCCTGTGACGACTCCTGAAAGCTTTCATCCTTCCCGTACAACTGTATGGATGGTTTACACAGTGTAGACCACCAGTTGTATGCCATCTAACCTTTTTTACATGGCGTAGATGAGGAAGAAGATGCATGAGACTCCCCCTCAATACCAGAACTAGTGACTTTTCCCCTAAGCAACTAAACACCAATTTGAATCATCCCGATGATGATTCAAGGGAGCAACATGCAACTTCGGGTAACTCAAAACACAATACGCAATTGCGTTCATAACTCAGATCACAAGACACAAAAGAAAGACTCAGAAAAGCAATTGAGACACAGATAATATGTTAGAACATCTTATCCAACATTCTTGCAAAACAACTGCAAGAATGGATTCCACACCAAAAGGATATCAGTTATACGCTGTAGGAACCAACACACAACTAGGATGAATACACACCTATTCTCCCCCTTTTAAGCCAAAATATGGTAAAAGTAACCAACACAGTTCCAGACCCACATGATACTTACCCAAACCCGGACAAAGGCCATAAAGACATGACACAACAAAAGAAACACAACTTAAGACTAACGAAGCACATACCCCCTTTAAATACCCAACCAGTTACTCTAGGAATTAATGATCCATAGAAGTTACCGAAGAACAATTTAATGAGGACATAAATTTAGGTAGATAACTTCATCATAAATGATTGTGCACCGCCAAAATCTGATTTGACTATTTCAACTTTAGGGAGAACCGTCCAAGGAATGCGCATTAACCAAGACACATGTTTTACACACCTTCTCTTAGGCACGTTATTCATTTTCCAAGGAACACTGTCCAAATACACCTTCTTGGAAATAACCACAAGTCCTAACCAATGTCCTGACATTTGGTCAGACTTTGTCTAGTATTTTTCAAGACCTCATAGGTATAGTCACAGATCCTTCAGGTAATTCCAACATGCTCTTGTCATCCAGAGGCTTACTAAGATGTTAAGACAGCATGTCCAACATCTTCCAATAAGGACTTCGAAGAACTTTAACTCATTCTGTAGAGAAAATAAATTCTCCCAGACAACAACCAATCTTATTTCTCAGGTCTCTCCTAAGTATTAAGAACACAATTGATATAATTCGGTATCCTTAACAACCCAACCTATCATACAGAGCTGACAATTCTACCAAAATTAACACCCTTTGATGTCAAGACATCTTATATGACATCACATCCTCACAAGAATCACATGAGCATCTTCTTGCTCATAAGTGAGAAAAATACCAGGACTACACTCCTAGTACCATAACCAAAGAACTCTTGGAATGAGATCAACAATCACCATTGATCACTCTCCCCTTGAACACATCCACACATTGTACACGTCCATCTTGAACCTTATAGCATAAACAACCTTGTTCTTGAGTGTGGATCCAATCAAGCCATGAATGTTAACATTCCCTAAAGAGACATACACATTCTCTTAACCCGTTGGTTAATCAAGATGTCATCTACACATGGAAGTCACCAATCCCCTTCACCAGAAGAAGAAAAACTCCTCAGCCTGCTTCCTTCTCAAGTTCAGTCTAATACACTATCTTCTATAAACACTTTTAGCAGAACCAACCATCTACACATAGATAATCAAACTCTACAAAGTCCTGATCATACTTCACAATAAATAGATAGTTCACTTCTAATCCAACTGGTGAGAACCAAAATTTCCTTTCTGAAGAGATAGACATCTAAATTGATGTCTCAAACACAAGATAAAATATCATCCCCATCTGATTTGGTTCCGGAGTAAACATCCATGAGAATAACTCTCTATATGGTAATCCATACACTTCCTTTTGTAATAACCACAAGAGGATCCCAACATATCACAATTGCATCAACTTATAGATCATCATAGGAGGCATAATACTAGTGAGAGAAATAAACTCTCTCAAGCCTCAGGAAACTTCATCACAGAAGCACAATGTTCATACATCTTGTCTCACATTACAAAGTCAACATCCATCCTTAAGCATCCACAGGGGAGATTCCCTCTGATAGATACCAGTATGATTAACAATAAGCATAAGATATAGATTGAGCAACAAAAATAGGCTTCTCTTCAAGGTCTTCTTTTCATCTTCCCTTCAATCTTCTATCCTTTACTTTACACAGTATACCATAAGCCAAAGTACATCAATACTATCGAGCAACAAACTTGAGCAGGTAGTTTCTTATAGCACACTCAAAAGACACTTTCCTTCAGAATAACCACACAAAATACTTTTCACAAGGTCCTTGATCATGTGGGAACAACTGAACTGGAGCTTTCAGTACAAACACCCTCTTACCCTAGACAAATTCACCGCTATGATTACTTCTCACCTTAAAATTGTAGATTATTTTTCAGTTTGTACTGGTATGCAAAAGACGTTGACACATCACATGTTTCATCCTTGGTTCTCAAGAATTTAACCCAAGTCCATCTGCTATAGTCATCAACAATGACTATATCATATTTCTTCCTATTGATTGATGAAGTACTAACAGGGCCAAATAGATCAATGTGAAGTAGTTTCAAGGGTCTAGAGGTATAGACAATTTTTTTAGATTTGAAAGAAGATTTGTTAATTTTTCTTACTTGGCACGCTC